GGCAGGAACGGTGGGAATCATGAGGTTCCTGAAAGCTTGGACTATGCTGAGAGGTTGGTGGAGCAGTTAGTGGAGAGATGGACTGGTGATGGATAGGAATCTTCAAAGACAAAAAAAAGCCCTCAGCTCTGTAGTCGTGGACTCCATCATCTGATCCTTGAAAGAGTAGATAAGGCAATTGGTTCCTTGGCTAGATGACCTCTCAGGTCCTGTTGTGGGGCTCTGGCCACTTGCATGTGATGGACTTTTTGGCTCAAGTTATCTGAGTCTAGTGTTCAGACAGTGTGAAGGCTGTGTTTGAGGGGTGGCTGAGAAAAAGGTGTGAGAAATGAAACAGCCAGACTCAGAGTTCTATGAGGACTTCACAGAAAGCTGGGAAGATCTGTCTGATGAACCTGAACTTATGTGCTAGTTATTTTGAAAGCTGAAAGGTGGTAGGTCATTTAGGGCTTCTTACAGGTGGAGGCCTGGCTGATTTATTTCTTGTCCGTTACATTAGTTTGTATAGCTGCCTGATGTGATTGCAGCAATGTATCATAACTGTGATTGTCCCCATTTGACTGCCTTTCAGTTGCAGGAGAAGAATAAATTACAGATAATGTGTTGTAGCTGCAGTTAGGAATTTGCATTATGCTACTATGGAGAATTCTTTTTTTGTGATTTTCAGTCTCTACAGTGCTGGTGGTTGGCATCTGCTGAGCATCCAGGCCATGGTAAAGGGAGTCTTGGTTTCCTGTTTTGCAGGACAGGGTTTAAGAATTTCTCCTCACTTATGTTTGGTGGTTTGTTGTTTTGTTTTGTTGTGGTTTTTTTTGTTTGTTTGCTTGTTTCCCCCCCCCCCCCCCTCAAATTTTTTCTCCCCCCGCCTTCAAATTCTTTCTGAGAGTCAGATATTTGATCACGTCAGATGAAGTCAGAATAATAATCACCTCTCACTTACCTTGATTCTAGATTTTTTGGAAAGGTGAATAGAAGTACTTGATCCTTGCTTTTCTTAGAATAATCATTTAAAAAATGAATTGAAGGGAGGCAGGGCATTCTTCAGTGTATCTGACATACTGGAAAATAAGGGGATAGAAAATGTTGTAATCTAACACCTAGACACAGGAATTACATTTGCATAATCGGTAATTACTTGGTTCAAAATGCCTCTCAAGAGGGAACTGCAGCAATACCCAGTGCTTCTTATCACTAAATGCCAATGCTATTTCATTATTAAAAAAAAAAGTACAAAAACACCCTGACGTTTGGTTTTGAAGCATGTTCTGCCAGAGAAGTTTTCTGTAAGAAGTGTTGGATTAGCCAGGCTTTTCTGAAGTTTTGTAAAGTTCCAGAGCAGCTCCATAAAAGGAGATGTCAGTAAGGCAGAGACCTCCCATACTTATGAGAACACAAGTTCCATGAGTCACATGCTGATGACCTCAGAATTTCCTACACAGAGATAAGCGTAGGATAAAGAGATAGTATGGGTAACAGAGAGACAGCATGAATGAGACAAAATCTAGCTATTCCTTGACAGCTGGACTGACTTTCTGCATGTTTTCACTGATTTTTTTTTTTTTTTCAAATAGAATGTCCTTTGTATTGTTTAAGCCCCCCAATCCCAAAGAGGAAATACACTGAAGAAACATTTTATCTGATAGTGGGAATGAGAGGAGTAATTCCAAATGTAGAGAGGATAACCTGTTTGATTATATCATTATCTAACACTTAGATGTTTCTTGTCTTCCTGTATTCTAAGATTATTTTTTAAAAGGAATTGTCTAATCATATTTGTTCCATATCTGACCATGCAGGTCTAGTGTTAAAACTTCTTGGTAATCTGTTTTATCTGTTAAATTGTAGGAATAGTTTATTCTTCTTGCATTGCATGGAAAGCAGACTTACTGCATGGACTGGCTGTCCTCATTGTGGGCAAGGAGTAGGGCTTCTAAAACTGTAAATCAAGTTTATGAAACATAGGCAACTATGAAGTACATATGGCATTTTTCATTTTGTCAAGCTTTGTGTAGTAGTTTCTGTATAGTCACTTCCCCTTTTGTTATTTTTGGCAAGCAGATACATTAAAAAAATAAAGGAAAAAAACACACAAGAACCCCAGTACAACCTTCTGTGTGACTTTGAAGCTTATATTTTAATCTGTTATCCTTGTTGGACTATAGTATTTTTATGCCTTTGTCACTGTTCTAACCATGTTCCCTTCTATAGGCCTCCCTCTAGAGGCACATATATCTATCTTCAGAAAAGGGGTGAACCAGCTTGGATAGGTCCCAGGTTCTCTGGCCTGTGATGTTTCCAAATCCCCTATGAATACTAGTGTCCAGTTCTGATAGCATTGCAGGAGTGTGTGGGTGAAATAGTAGTACTTCTACAGTGAATCTCACCATTGTCTACTATGTTAGCCACCTTCCACCTCTAAGAACAATGTCAAAAATGTCCATCTGCCTCCCATGGCTTGACACTACATAATTAGCCATTGTACTAATTTTGTAGCAGAGGTCACTTGTTGGAAAGAGGGGGTGGGGGGGGGCTG